GTATTTTCACTATAACTCAGTCAAATCTTGCTCAAAATTTAATAATTAAAGTGTCTATTTGAAGCATATTTAGAAAACATGAATTTATGTCAAATAATTACTGAATTCTGTGCAGAATTGAGTGAGAAATAGCTATTTTTTTGTTTTGTTTACTTTTGTGACAAAAAATAATGATTTATCAAGTGTGACAATACTTATGAAAAAGGCAGTAACATGAAACTTGTTGTAAACTACTCTAATACACTTATATTTAATTTAGGAATACAGTTTGAGGTCAAGAATAATTTATTGAGTGTAGGGGGGAATAAAGTAAAATAGTTAGTTTTACACATTTTAGCCCCCTCTCAGTAAAGCAGAATAAGCAATCTATTCACAAAAAATTGACTATTTAAATTAAGTATTAACGTATCCAACTAGAATAAACAGTTTTCCAAGCTTATATATTTAGTTTTGATTTAGAGAAAAAATAAAAATGAGTGTTACATAGAAAATTCACATTTTGTACTGTATCTCAGCCAATTTTTACTCAATTTTCTCCATTTATGTTGGAATATGAAATATATTTTATGTTAATGAATTTAGCAACTTAAATCACACAAAATGGTTCAGTATTGATTGAGTTATAGTGAATTTTGTATTCTGACATGTTTATTGTGACAAATTGTCACAAAACACATTAGTGCCAGGTATTTTGAAAACAGCTGTAATGAGTCCATAATCTGTTTTAATTGTCAAGAACATATCCAGTTGCCTTCCAGTGCTAGAGTAAATGTACAAAGCTTCCCTAGAAGAAACTGAGCCTACAAGTCTATAAGGGATGTCTAAAACTATTCCTACACCTTCTACCTCTTTACAGACTTTAGAATTAATAGGTTCATTAAAGAAATAAGAGTCTTCACTGTCTAGAGTGTTATAGTGTAAACAATAATTGTCTATATTTGATTCAGATGTCTAGCATTAATTATTTACATGATAATAACTCTGTTCTAACTCTTTCTCAGACAATACAGTGTCTATACCTAAGGATTGACAAAAGACTCCTCTTCCTCAATCTGTTCCTTGTCTGATTCTTCATCTATAAAGTCCCCTTCCTTTAATTCCTGTATTGTCTCTACAAAAGCAAACCTTTCCTTAGGTCCTATAGCTCTGAGAATCATCCTAACTCTTTAATACTAAGAAGGACAAACTCTAGCAAAGTGACCAATCTCTCTACAAATGTAACAAGCTTGATTTTTCTTAGTATTGTTAATTAAGATGTTCATTGGTTCTCTAGCTCCCAAGAATGTTTTTCTATTGAGAGTCAACCTGAAAGGATGTGAGGTTGGTTGAGAATTTGTCTACACATTTAGAGCTTTAAAATGTGTAGTAGGATTAGATTGAGGAGAGTTGTGAGTCTTGTTAGGAAGATTGAAGTACAGACAGTTGTCAGATTAACTACTAGAGAGTCCCCTATGTGTAAGAGTCTCCCTGAGTCAAGTT